CTTTAGTTATCAACGATTGGAAAACCTAAATACTCAACAAGTTTAACTCCAAATTTTGCTTCATTCATGGCACTATGACATATGACTTGCTCAATATAAATTAATTTAAAAGTTGAACTATACTTGTTCACTGTGCTACTGCCAGGTTATCCATTATCATAAACAAAAAAAGTAAATTAAAATGAAAAGAGAGGTTAGTTAGTTGATAAAATATACAGGTCTATATATATATGAATGTTAATTATTAATATAAACTTGAAATGACAAATAAAATACATCTGAAAATCAAACACGTTTATTAACCCAATGATCACAGGCAACTAATTCTCCGAGTAGCCAATGCAAGTCTTGCTATATTTCATACCAACAATAAAACTAGTGGATGAAACTGTTTTAAACTTTATAAGAACTTTCATAAATACACGTAGTTTAAGGAACATAAAGCCTGTTACTTTTGATAAATTTAGTTTTTTCGCATTATGATCTTTAATATGCTGTAAAATTACATTAGGAAATGGTATTTATAAGAAATGATTACAATATTTATATTTGTTCCAGATACTGTAATAGTTTACAGTATAGGTGATTTGAATAACCACACCCGACCCTAGTTACTTGATATATCCTGTTAGAAGAGATTACCAAATGGTACAGACACCATAAATTACTTTACAGCATTTAAAAGATTAGTCCTGGTCACATTCCTCTCATTATAGGCAAGATTTATGTTGGAATTTGAAACTTAAGCTCTTCAGTGTATTGAGACCCTCACTGTGAGAATGTCATAGTTTCTCTGTATTATTGAGACAAATGTATTTAGCCTGTTTCACAACCAACATGTGGGTTTATTGTTGTCACTTGTACACTGAGTTTAAACCATTTGTAAAATATCAGAATCAACTTTATATATATCAGTTACTGTTTTAATTATAAAGCAACAATAACAGAAATGTGGGTCATACTACAAAGTAAAGATAGTAAGATGGAAAAATATAAAATTCTTATGTGGTAGTGGTACTAGTAGTATTACGTACAAATCACACAAGTTTATCCTTCTAAATACTGAATCATATTATTATTATTATTATGAACTAAGTATAAAATGATAATAAATTATTGAACTTAAAAATACTAATTTAAATGCAAAAAATATAAAAAATCACAAACTCTTTCAGTTCAAAGTGCTAAGCCTAATTCACGTAAAGACCTTGCACTCGCCACTTGATAGCTCTAAACCCTAACATTTGTGGACCAATTTCTTTCCTAAAAAATATATCTATTTTGAGTTAATTTTTCAATATAATGATTAATATAACTGGATATATGATACAGCATGACTTGAGCTGCTATATAAAAATAATAAAAGTCACATACATCCCATGCAGTTTTTTCCAGAAGGAAGTTTTCTAAGGCCTATAAAAAAGTACTATTGACCAATACTAAATACAACCTCTACATAAGATGGCAGTTACTATAATAAGTATCACCCACATTCATATTGTAAAATCTAGAGAACAATGTTTCATCACATGCTTTGCTTATCATCCTATGATTTGTCAAACATAAAATACAGCGATTAGAATAATATGGTACTGGAATTGACACCTTCGACTAGGATTGGCTAAAAGTTTCACAACTGAGGTTTAACACAAAAAAAAAACAGACTAGAAAAGGTTTAGATACCAA